GGACCTATTCAACATAAGCGTTGTGATTCGGGGCAATTTTGGTCCTAGTATCGTGTGTCAAATGAAAGGATTATATTAGATGGCATCAAAGATTTTGCATATATACATGCACATTAAATTCTATGTTATTTATAGCTCATGTTTCTGATAGCCTTATTTGCTATTATATCAAAATTTGATTATAACATTTTTCTCCTCTTATCAAAAGCTATAATCCAACTTAATTCACTTTGATTTAATAGCAAATATGTATATCTGATCATGTGTTCAACCCTTAATATACAGTTACAAGTATATCCAAGTTCAACTTCATTTTCAATATATAAGTAAATTTTGCTTTCCAGATCCTCAGTTGTAAGTTAAAAGAATATCTGAACAGAAGACTTTCTTTTTTTAAAAAAAATGTATGTATTTGCTTTTAGTTCTAGGATACATATGCAGAATGTGCAGATTTGTTACATAGATATATGTGTGCCATTGTGGTTTGCTACATCTATTGACCTGTCTTCAAAGATCCCTCCTCTCACCCCTGAATGCCCCCAAAAGCCCTGGTGTATGTTGTTCCCCTCCCTGTGTCCATATATTTTCATTTTTTTAACTCCCACTTATGAGTGAGAACATGCAGTGTTTGGCTTTCTGTTCCTGCATTAGTTTGCTGAGAATGATGGCTTCCAGCTTCATCCATGTCCCTGCAAAGGACATGATATCATTCATTTTTATGGCTGTATAGTATTCCATGGTGTATATGTACCACATTTTCTTTATCCAGTTTATCATTGATGGGCATTTTGGGTTGCTTCCATGGCTTTGCTATTGTAAATAGTGTTGCAGTAAACATGTATGTGCATGTCTTTATAGTGGAATGATTTATATTCCTTTGGGTATATACCCAGTAATGGGACTGCTGGGTCAAATGGTATTTCTGGTTCTAGATCTCTGAGGAATCACCATACTGGCTTTCAGAATGGTTGAACTAATTTATACCACCACCAACAGTGTAAAAGTGTTCCTGTTTCTCCACAACCTCACCAGCATCTATTGTTTCTTGACATTTTAAAAATTGTCATTCTGACTGGTGTGAGATGATATCTCATTGTGGTTTTGATTTGCATTTTTCTAATGATCAGTAATGAGCTTTTTTTCATATGTTTGTTTGCCATGTAAATGTCTTCTTTTGAGAAGTGTCTGTTTATATCCTTTGCCCACTTTTTGATGGTTTTTTTTTTTCTTGTAAATTTGCTTAAGTTCCTTGTAACTTCTGAATATTAGACTTTTATCAAATGGATAGATTGCAAAATTTTCTCCCATTCTATGGAGAATGTTCACTCTGATGATAGTTTCTTTTTTATTATTATTATTGTACTTTAAGTTCTGGGGTACATGTGCAGAATGTGCAGGTTTGTCACATAGGTGTACACGTGCTATGGTAGTTTGCTTCATCCATCACCCCATCATCTACATTAGGTATTTCTCCTAATGCTATCCTTCCCCCACCCCCCCATCCCCCATCTTCTGCTATTCCTCCTGGAGTCCCCCACCCCATCTTTTGCTAAACAGAAGGTCTTTAGTTTAATTAGCACCCATTTGCCAATTTTGGCTTTTGTTGCAATTGCTTTTGGCTTTTTCATCATGAAATCTTTGCTTATGCCTATGACCTAGATCGTATTGTCTAGGTTTTCTTCTAGGGTTTTTATAATGTGAGGCTTTACATTTAAATCTTTAATCCATCTTGTGTTCATTTTTATATAAGGGGTAAGGAAGGAATCCAGTTTCAGTTTTTGGCATATGGCTAGTCAGTTTTCTCAACACCGTTTATTGAATAGGAGACCTTTTCCTCATTGATTGTTTTTGTCAGGTTTGTTGAAGACCAGATGGTGGTTGTAGATGTGTACTGCTATTTCTTTTTTTTTTTTTTTTTTTTTTTTTTTTTTTGAGACGGAGTTTCACTCTTGTTACCCAGGCTGGAGTGCAATGGCGCGATCTCGGCTCACTGCAACCTCCGCCTCCTGGGTTCAAGCAATTCTCCTGCCTCAGCCTCCTGAGTAGCTGGGATTACAGGCACGTGCCACCATGCCCAGCTAATTTTTTGTATTTCTGGTAGAGACGGGGTTTCACCGTGTTGACCAGGATGGTCTCGATCTCTTGACCTCGTGATCCACCCGCCTCGGCCTCCCAAAGTGCTGGGATTACAGGCTTGAGCCACCGCGCCCGGCCCTGTACTGCTGTTTCTGAGGTCTCTGTTCTGTTCCATTGGTCTATGTGAGCAGAAGGCTTTATTAAGCAATAACTGAAATTTGTATAAATCTGCAGTGGAAAGCATGATATATTAACCTACATTTTAAAAAATAGTGGTATGTTTATAACTCTTAGCCAATCCTCCTGAAGTTTTGAGATTTTATTTCCCTCAGCATACTAGGTAATGCCAAATCTATGTGATATCAATAAACTTGAACACATAACATATAAATTTATTCTCTTGGTAGTATATTTTTAGTTGTGATTATATAGTTACCAAAACATCTTTAAAATTTATTTTTAAAAAACCCTTCTCTTTATGCTTCTAGAAATTTCTAAGAGACAGTAGTTAAAAAATTGTTCTGGAATTCTATAAAAGTTTCTACAAACTTTCTATTCAACCAAGAAAAACTATTCTCAAAGTTTTCTGTACTTTTAGATATTAATTTTAAAATGAAAATTTTCTTCAGACTTTAGGTAGTCTTTCCAAGGAAGAGCACTCCGTCAACATTTATATGATGTGGCAAAGAGTTTTACTGTGCTTTGTGGGATCTAGTCCTGCCGAAGAGCAAAAACAGCTGGATTTCCAGAGAATATAAAAAGGAGATGGTTTGGCAGGTGTTTAAGGAAAAAAAAAAAAAAAGGCTGTGTGTATAAAATCAGCATAAGAGTCAGGCAACTTGCTTGACAATGATGGCCCTTTTCCATACCCACTCCTCAGGTGGCATGCTGCCTTTGTAATATTATCTTTTTCAGATTTTCTCATCAATTTAGCAGTTTTCAACAGAATAAGAATACTAATTCAATTACAGCTGATATGCTGTAGTCCTTGATCTTCCCTGAGGTATGACTGGATTTTCCTTTGTCATTCAAAACAAAAAAAAATTAAAACTCCAAGTTCTGAATCCTGTTTACAATTTTGTATCAAATAAGAATGTCCATCCCCCCTTATTTTAACAGAACAGTTATTAGATTTATTTGTCATTCATGATGAGCTAAAGAGAGAATTTTGATTCTATAAATCAATAGGAGTTTACTAAATTACTAGCCTGATTTCACAAGCAATCAACATAAATGACTTAAATATATTAGAAATAAATGCTCATATCTTATTTTTCTGTAATTTTCCAAATGTACCAAAGCATGTGTGCTTCCTTTTATTTTAGAGCCTCCCTGAACTGTAGCCATTGTTTCCTGACTCCCATTTTCAACCCTTTTCTTTCTGTGAGGATGAGAAGGAGGAATACTGATGGCTTTGGTGAGAGAGTTTTGTCTCTCTAGGCCGCTGTCTCTTTTTCCAATAATGCATTTTTTTTCTTTTATGAATATTGAATTATTTACAAATACTGAAATTTGAATATTTTAATTAACAAATTCAAGTTGTATATGTTCATATATTGTATACATTAACATGTGCACTACCGCACATAGTTACCATTTTTTTTGTGTGTGGTAAGAATGCTTAAAATGTATTCTCTGAATAATTTTCAAGAATACAATGTATTCTTATTAAACATAGTCACCATATTGTTCAATAGAGCTCTTGAATTTATTTATTCCTCCCATGTAACTGACAAATAGCAATTCTTCAACCAAATATTTATTTAAAGACAGATATAACTGTGATATATATGTTAATGTTCACTATCTAGAAGGAACTTAACAATTGATCTGTCTAATAACTAACTAGAGGCACACTATTTACATAACATTCAAATAGTGTGAGTTTGGTTAGGTTTCCTAAGACTAAATTCTATTAAGTGAAATTCTGTCATTGCACTAGCTGCCTGTAGTCAGTATGTCCTAGGCCTGCCTTTCCAATGGTCTTTCAGAAGAGTCAGTCAAGACATGCTGTAAATGTGTAAATGAAAAATTGCATTTACATCCCCTCAGAATAAATTATTCTAGTTTTAAATTATAAAATGTTTGATTATCTTAGAACCTTTTAAAAAATAAATTAGTATTCTACATATCTTTTTCCCCAAAAAATGAAATGCAAAACCACAGAAATTGATTCTAAACCATATTGGATAATCAAGTAAAGATCAGATAATTACATCCTAAATTATGCGATGATAACCTAATTAGCAGGTTCCATTGTAGTAAGAGAGAATAAATTTAGAAATTCCAAAAATTGAAGAAAGATGTTTTAAGGTAAAGAGAGAGAGAGTTTAAAATAGGAATTTCAAAATTTTGGTTTACATTTATATTTTTGTTATTTGAACAGATGAATTAGAGAATATAAATCAGGGACCATGTTCCTTGTATTGTTTTATTCATTGCCACAAAATTTATTTATTTTTCTTCCATTCAGAAAATTTGCAACATTTTTTATAAATTAAGAAAAAGCTGGATTATAGACTGTTTATAGAACAAGTGATACTAACATTAAAATACTGTAAATTTTCAATAGTGATGTGTGTATTTTTAAAGAGCTAAAAGATTACTTCCTCAGTTCCATCTGTATTTGGCTCAGAGTCATAGTTACAGTTAAATTTACTGGATAGTCTGTACCTCATTTTTTAGAGCATTCAAATATCAAGTTTTCACTTTATCCAAAGTGTAGAGATGAAAAGTCTTATCCCATTTTTAGCATTTTTTCATTAAACAGATGAATATCATCTCACAATAGTAAGTCACAAATTTTCTCTAAATAAAAATTCTGATATACTTTGTCAACATTTATAGTTTATAAGACAATTTAAAAGAAACATTATAAATGTTATGCAAACTAAATTATGCACATTTTAATATTATTTGTGCAGGCTGCCTTAGAAGAAGAATGGCTAGCTTTAGATTCCACCCGCTTCCCTTCACAAACACTGCTTTCCTCAAACCAGCTGCTTTGGCCAAAGGTAACATGTCATGGAAACTTCTGAGTGCTCCATCTTTGCTCATTTCTTAAGGTTATGTTATGTTGCAGTGATTAATAATACAATTTATTGACTTGAAAAACATAATAACTTTTAGAAGCCTCTGACTTCCTCCTCATCCCCAGATGTAATTTTTCATGTAGCTTTTCTTTCATTTGCTCCTACTTTTTTTCTTTATTTTGGATTTCTTTCAACACTTTATTTCACAGTAGCAAAAAAAAAAAAAAAATGAAATGCTTCAGCTGCATATTTGGCAGTAGACTAAAATCACTAGTTGACAGCACTTTAAAAATACAAAAATATGCATTAAGCGGGCAACAGCTGAAGATTTTCAGTCAGAGGTCAATGGACTGCAATATCTGTTATTTATTTGATAATCTTTGAAGTTTTAGTTTTCTGAGATTTTTAAAGATCTTTGCAATTAATCATTTTCTATATGAGAGCTATCCCAAAAAGGATAGCTTCCACCACTACAACAACGAACATATATAATATTTTCCATAAATTTCATTTTATTAACATTTTAAATTTTATAGTGAGTTTCCCTTAGGAGGCTATTTGGTAATATGTATGTAAAGTAATACAAAATAAATGAAGTTTAAAAATTTTTAAATTTACTTCACACTTACTTACTTTTTTTTTTTCTGAAAAGATTCCTGGAAACTTAAAACAGGATGATACTTCATTTAATTTACCAAGTAATCCAGCTCAAGCATGGCTATGTAATGACAAAGAAAATTTGTTTTCTTCAGAACACGTACAATTTAATAGCAGGTAAACTGAACTACTGTTTTAGAGAATCAACCTGTAAATGACAAGAGAATTACATATCATACAAAAGTAGTACAGTTATAAAAATGGATGTGAATTTACTTGTTTAGAAAATGGAACATTTAGTATTAAAAACATCATGGTCATACAGAGTTTTCCATGTAAGGAAAACGTATGAAGTAGGTACATTAAAGCAACTACAAAATTTATATGTCAGGGAAATAATTAATTGTTGTAAACAAGTAGATCTTTAAATACTGCTATATAGGTACAGATAAGGATTAGACTAAAAATTCCAGTGCTGTGTTACTTTTGACAAAGGAATTGAAATATGCTTCAAGTAATTGAAATGTAAACATTTTAAATTAATGGCAGACTTTTATTGCTTTTCAAGATAATGTTTTTTGCTAACTTAGATTTTATTTCCAAGTTTGAGACAACATAAATAGCTTGTAGTTTTAAAAAGTGCTGATATACTTCTGTGGTAAAAGTGTTCTTTTCTATTGCCAGATCAGAAAACAGAACTTCTTCCTGGACACCTGAATCAAAGACCAGTAGAAAGAGTTTGCTAAAATCTGAAAAAGAAAAGAAAATTTCAGAAGAATGGTATGTAGTCAATTTGATGCTAAAATATTAAATAATTGAGAGGCTGCTAAATGTCCAAGACAAATATTTTTCAAGATTTTAAGAATACCTATATTAGTTTTTAAGAAACCATTCATCTGATTAATTTAGTTTCTTAAATGGGAATTCACATTTATTTTAGTATGCTATAATTCAGATATGCATGTATATATCTATGTGCATATCTAAATATGATCTGGATATTTGTTTTGCCTTGATTTAATCTTTTAATAGGGGCTTTAAGGATATTTCTACTGCTCAGCAAATGTTGAAGAGGGCACAGAAAATGAAATCAAAGAAACTAAAGAAAAATTTAGGTGAGTAGTTAATGCTCTTTGAATAATAACTATGTATGCAAAATTGAAGATAATTCTTTAAAATATATTTTATAAATTATGTTTAATAAGAACAGTAATCAATTCACAGATGTATATTTCTAAGATAATTACTCTGAAAAAAAAACTTAAAACCTAAGAGAAAATTATTCTATACTATTGAATGATTTATACTTTTAAACACTATTTTTACTTTTTTTTTGCCTCTTTCTTATATACTTCACAATTGATTATTCTATCTATTTTGTGCTAAGAATTATAAGTTGTTTTAAACTGGTTCATGTTGTGAAATGTTGATTCTAAAGAGCATCTGCTTCACTGCTTATTCCTTTGTGTTCTTTTAAATTGATTGATTTTTCAATAAATTATGTAAATGTATCAGTTACATAGATTTTAGTTATGAAGATGTCACGATGTGAAATCTTGTAAAAGCACTGTTTATATATTTTGTGATTTTGTAGGACTTGGGAAATGTTCAAAAATATCTTTTATTTATCCCACTTATGAGGCTAGCCTTTAAATCATTTGTCTTTCTTTGGACACCTCTAATCATTTTGGTATAATTAACATATGGAGTCGGAGAAAAAATAGGTTATTATAATATTTCTTATTAAAACTTTAAAATTATTCAATATAACTTTTTATTTATAACTAAATATTTACTCATAAATATAAGAACATGGTTATTTATACTGGTTTTGAGTTTCTTTTGTATATTAACTACTTTTAAAGTTCTTATTGTTAATAAAAAGTTTCCATAAAAGACCTGTTACTCCTGAGCATTGCAATAAATCTATACTTTTCCTATAGATCTAGCTTATGTAATCATATGCAGTATTTCAAAAAATTATTTTTATCTTTTTATATTAATCATTTAAATTTTTTCAGTAGAATTCTAAGAACCACATATAAATATAAAATTTGTAATCAAGTAAATATTGCAAAAGTGCTTTCAATTTTCAAGGAATAATTGATATTTATTGGCATATCACTTCATAGCCATTGATAAATTACTGGTGATTCATTTTTATATACAGAAGTGTTCAACTTGCATATCTTACTGTAATATTAGTGATATAATTTTTTACTTTTTTGTGATAACTGATTTTTATTGAGTAGTAAAATTTTTCAGATTTGAAACATTGACGTTTCAAGCATTTTTAAAGAAAATATAGACACTGTGCTTTGTAATTTGTTTGTACCTCCTGCACTGTCATTTTGTAAACTATTAAGTTCATCAGGGTTCTCTGAACTGAATGCTATGTGATGGGTAACCATTGAAATAATAGCTCCAAACTCTTAACGGTAGTGAGACTCTTTCAGTTCTAGATATATAGAATCTAGTAGTGTAAATCAGTTGGTTTTACAAACTCTATTATTGCTCTGATATATGTTTCTACCCATTGTCAGCAGTATCAAAAACATTCTTTAAACAACTGTTTTGAGAATAATAAAAATTTCTGAACCTCCTAGGGCAAGGTCAAGTATCAGAGGTGGTTTAATAACTGATTCAGCCAATATTCAACAAATAATTACAACATAGTTGTATTAAAACAATTTTGCTAGGCCTACTTTTAAAGGTATTTGTAGTGTTCGCAATAAATAGCTTTCAGTATGGAAAGCAGAGGTAAAGCTTAGCTTGTCAGACTTTCCATATGATTCTGTCTCTGGGAATACATAGGTCTTTCTTGCTAACCCTTGTAATTGAGGGTTTTGGGGGACTGATAACATTTTTGATAAAGCAGCATAGCAAGTGTTTTAGTAAAGGATTCAGTAAGGAATATATGCTAATACATAAAAATTATTCCTTGAATGGCCATGACCAGATATAATTATCAGGCAAAAATGAAGCCTCTTTTTATCAGTCACAAGGGGGCATGGCAGGGTAACAAATGAAAGAGGATAACCAACTTAATGACCACATCTTTAACTTAACATTTTGGGTTAGGTTAAAATCCTAAATGGCACTTGTGTAATATTTATGGGGATTATTATTCTAATAATGTGATTATAATCTAAATCACATTATTACTGTGTAAGATTTTGTTTCTCTATCACTTTTGTTTTGCTTTTCTAAATCGAGGTATTAGATTAATGAAACATAACATTTTATCTTTAAAACGTGAATGCTGCAATGTAAAATTTAGTGATGTTTTATATTCTTACTTGTTTCATTCTATTCTTTTTTCACAAGAGATGTACAGATTAGAAACATTAAAGGGAAGATTCAAGGTGAAAAGCATGAGAAAGAAAATCTGAGAGATCTTTTTTCTTTATCACATTATGCATATCTTCTGTTCAGTTGATGTAGCACTTATGGCATTTTTTTTTATCTGTGAGTGAATCATTTAAGATTCTGTGCCTTAGGTTTTCTTCTTATAGAATAAAAAATGTTTAATACTTTCTCAAGTTTTATAATGCAGTCGATCTGTGTGATACACTATTAATTTGCATCTGTCTCAGATAGTGAGCATAATTTTAAATTTTTACTCACTAATTAGCTAACACAATGTTTTAAATATTTAAATTTGGTTAAACACTGAAAGATTTACTAATAATTTTTAAATATACTTGGAGATTTCCTTCTTACATAGGCAACTCACCAACTTGAAATTTTTAAACCACGAGAGGGCAACATCGTCTATAAAACTGCTGTGATCTAGCTCTGTGGGGGTGGGGAGCATGGCAGGAGGGGTGACAGAGAGTAGGAACTATTAATTAGTATAAATTATGTCCTACAATCTAACAAAGTAGTAATCCTCACGGAAATGGGGCACATTTGCATGAAGTATGGTGAGTTTAATTCAAATTTCTGCCACAGAAAACCTTAGAGCAAGTTGCTCAGTGGCAAGCACTTCATATTTCCTGTTTGTAGTGTGTACATATTTTTATCAGTCAAGGGATATGAGTCGATGATATTTGATTTATTTAAGATTAAAAGGAAAATACAGCAAAAAGCAGAGTGTCAATGAATTTAAGAAAATAGAATTAATGGAATTAGTTGCAGAGTGAGGGAAGAATACTTATGAGGATGTTCATTAATGAAGAAGCAAGAAACTGAGGAAAGATACGTTATGGGCAGCTATTAGAGGAGACTCAGTATTGATGAATTCTGTTGGTATAAGTGAGGCCATCTGATTAAAAGAGGAAGAGGGTAGAGAGAGAGGAGGAGGGTGGAGAGGGAAGAGGAGGAACTGATTGGAAACCGCAGGGTAAAATCTAAAATTGTGAGGAGTTGTCATTATTTACAGTTTATGTTTGGGTTATGGTAGTTGTTTTTCCTAGTAAGTAATTGCTTTTAACCTCTTGATTGGCATAAGCTTGAACCAATAATGACTGGTCTTGGTGATCTGTATTGAAATTTAGCAGATATCCAGGGAAGTTTAGAATTAAGTCTTGCAGTGAAGAAGATCCTTTGTAAGGTGAGAGTTACTTGTTTATTGAAAACATGCAGGGTCAATAATCTAACAGTATTGAATATAACTGGTAACAAGACTGAAATGAGGTGGATGCGGAAAGGGAGTGGGTGTTTGGTTTTGACGTGGAGCATTCCTCAAAGTGCTCAGAGAGAATGGGGTCTGAGTATAGGAATTTTGGTAGAGAGTAGCTAGTAAGAGGTTTAAGGGCTAGGAACATACGACAAAGACATAACATGGCTTTTCTGCCAGGAATTAAGCCAGCATTAAGAAAGGCTAATTTTTTATGTAAAGTAAGCAATTCATGGGCTATAGCAAAGCAATCAGGATGCAGAATGATAATAAATGTAACTAAGGAATGTTAAGGGGGAGGGACCAAGATGGAAAAGTGTAGACAAAACACCACCAAAATAAAGTTTATTCAAGATGCATTTTGTTTACCACATTAATTTCCAGAAAGATTTTACAAGAATTTTGATCAAATGTTACTGTGTTGTGCTCTCAACAAACAAGTAATGAAACTTATTTGAATAGTAAGATCCTTGAGGGCAGAAACACACTTGATATTTCAGACCTACTACCATGCCTAGCACCTGGTAGATATTCAATAAATGTCAGTTGACTCAAAAAAACTAGATAGAAGTCACTAAAACTAGATAAAAGTCACACATTTTACAGTATGTGTGGACATTTGTCGTTTAAATACATGCTTATATTTGGGGAAGTTTATATTAGTAAATAGTACTTCTTATAAGATGATGAAATATTGCTAGTTACTCAAGCTTACTTTACAGCACTGCTATACTTGGCAGCTGCAGAAAATGGGCAACAATAACCAGATTTGTGTGTAAGAAGAAAATACTAAAATAAAAGAGTGAGATAAGTTAGAATTATAGAAGTTAAACAGGGATTAATTATACAAGGAGTTAAATAATATTGTGGATATTCTAATGCTTAACTAAAATTATATTATTTAAATAAAATACTAAACTGTTAACTATAGAGACACATGCATGATAGGGACATGGTTACTTACCTAGAGGTTTCTTGAAACATTTTTTGAACATTTATTTAATACCTATTTTCCAACACTGGGAAAGTCATTGCTGGGGGATACAAAGATGATTTTTTAAAAGTGACATAAACTGCTGTTGATTATTACAGAGGAGTAGACTTAAGTGTACAAAACTGACTTTATAATGAATAAAAATGTGTCACAAATTATATTGTTTACAAGTACCTCAACCCTTGGCTTTTCAAAAAATACTGAGTTGTGTTTTGATTTATTTATTCATTTTTTATTGCGGTAGGAATACTGTCTTATTTCCAGTTTCTTCCAGGAACTATCAAAAATCAAGTGATTTTTTTCCCCCCATGTTAAGTCTGTTTCCTGCTTCTTATAATTATCTCTTTGCAATTTGAATTAATTCAAGATTATATCAATCTGTGCTGATGCAATCATATGTTTTAAAACAAAAAGATATTGATAATGTAGCACTCTTTATTGCTCTTGGGGAATAAAATTATTTTAAGTAAATTGAGCTTGGTAACCTTTCTAAATATCTTAAATGTATTAAATTATTTGGCTTTGACAATAGTATGAAGAAAGTATGATTGTTATCCCTATTTTACATATTAAGAAATCGAGTTATATAAAGATAATTATTTCACCAAGGAAATGCCAAAGAACTTAAAAAATATCCATAGCTTCTGTTCAGTGCACTGTGTTGAATGAAATGGAGCCAATTATGATTCTATTTTTATATGTTCCTGTAAATTTTATGAAAAATGTAAGTTTTTTAAAGAATATAAACTGGAAATATTTCATTGTTTATGTCGTAATTATGTCTATTAGCTGTTATTTGTTGAGAACCTACACGAATATGGGCATGGGACTTGATGCAATTACACACATGATCTCATTAATTTGTATAGTAGCACTAATACTTCAAAGACTGTATTATTTCTATTGGACAGAGGAAGAGGCAGAAGGTGAGAACAGTTTTTCCAGAGTCATACAACTAGTAAAAGTTGAGACTGGGATCTTACCCAGGTCTGTTGAATTGTGATGTTGTTGTCAGAAAATACATAGATCAAATGAAAAGACAAGAGCAAGAGAGTAGAGAGATGGTTATAAGATAATAAACAGGATGTAAGCCCATGGTAATGTCTTTCTTCATTGACTAATGGTTCTTTGACATGCCATTTTTCTTGTAAATGACTTAGATGATATATAATACTTATTTTATGAAATATCTATACACTGATTTTTATCATTCTTACTGATAATTCAAAGTGAATGCATAAAAAACATTTAACTACAAAAAAATTTAACTACTATAATACCTGAGATTACATACATTAATATTTATGAGATGTACCTAAATATTGTCAAACATTTTCCCTAATCTTGAGAAATACAACCGTGGCAAAACTTAAAAATCATACCTAGTAAAGGTATATTATTAATAGAAGACTAATGGAAATTGTCAGGTTGCTCATGCTGGAGAATAGCTATGCAAATTCTATTTATTTTGCTTCTCTAATTTGGATTAAAAAATTCTACTTTAGCATTTAATTAAAATATATAATTTGGTACTTACAACATTAAAAATTTTGTTTTTAAATTTAATATATATGATCTACTATATTTTTTTGTAAAATGAATAGATCTTGAATATTCTTGGCTTTAAATATATGGATAAAATTTATACATTGTTATCTGAAAATACATTAGGGCAAATGTATTTTCAGTGTTAAATTGATGAAATAACCTTTTACTATCTGTTTTTTATCCCATTAGTTGTTTTGCTTCCATCTTTTATATCCCAGTTCCCCACAGTTTAGACGGAAAAGAATTAGAGTATTTCAGTTCGTTTAAGTATTGGCAATGTGTTTAAATCGATAACCAATAATACGTATATGGTTGGCGACCTTTCTGTGTTATGAAGCTTAACATAACATCATCATCAATTTCATAGAGCCTTACAGAGTGGATATTGCTTTTTTACTACCACCATATAGGAAATATATGGCCATTTAGAGAAAGAATTAACAAAAGATGAGCATTGTTCCTTTCTCGCTCATTTTGTCTAGATTCCACTGTGCGTCTAGCCTTATTCAAAAACAATGAAAATAAAGTGTCTGTTTCAAAATCACCAAAGAAGGCACCGCCCAAAAGAGATGGTTACTTTGAAGGTATGGCTTAATAACAGATATATAGAGAAGTAAAAAGGTAAATAAAGATTAAAAAATCGTATTTACAATAAAATGTTTAATTCTTAATAAATCCTAAAGTGTGTGTGTGTGTGTGTGTATATATATATATACACCTATATATGTATATATATGTATTCAAGTATATGTCATACATAATTCTTATATATATACATATATATACATATATGTGTGTATATATATACATATATGTAAGAATTATGTATGACATATACTTGAATAACTCAAAACGTGGTTCTTACAGCTGAAGTACTAATTTAGTGTGCTGAAATATTTATATAGTAATTGAAAATTTGTAACAATGTTTACATAAATTTTATTTTTTTTATTCGTCTGTAAAAGTTTTATAATGCTATATCATCAGCAACATTAATGTTATTTAAATGTTACAGTGGTAAATATATTAGCTTGTATCAGTGGAAGTGATCATACCTTGAAATATTCTATTTACTGCCAGTTTACACAATTGTATTGCCCTGTAAATTATACTCTGGAATTTAAAATATTTTACAATATTTGAAGTTTGCCCAACTCACTGTTGGGTGAAGGATTTGCACATCTAGATGGTGATAGTTCTGATTATACCTCTGATTTCAACATTCAGAAGAATTAGGAACTTTAATTATTTAACAGAAATATTTAAATGTACTAAAGCAGCAAGCATGATACAAAACTTCATGCAGCAAGCATGACTTAAAACATATCATCTGCTTTCCTTTTAATATCAATTTTTTACTAAAAATTTTAAACTAAATATTTTATGCTAAAATATTTTGTGTAAATTTTTATTCTAGTATAAATTTTTTCTATAGTTTAACCTATACTTTAATTAGTAATTTTAATAGAAAAAAGGAATCATATTTTAATGAAAAGTACCTATGAACATTTTCAATATTTTTGTCTTCTATAAGATTTAAATAAATCTTAAAATTTAGGCATCTTCATAGCACAACTGAAAATGGAAACATTTTGATTTTCATTTCTGTTTTGTAATGTCTTAAACTAAAGGAAAGTTTGGTAATCACCAAATTTGTACTATTCTAGAAATGCCTACTGAAGTACGTAGGGGTAGAAGTCATGAAGTCTAAAATTTTCCTTAAAGTAGGTAGCAATGAAAACATACATAGAAAGATAAATAAAGCAACTATGGGAAATTATTGAAATTACTGGACTAATAGATGATGATCGTATGTAGAGGTTTGCTTTACATTCTTCTTTTATATTAAATATTTTCCATAGTAAAACATTTAAAAATTTTAGTGCTCATTAACCAGGTCAAAACATAATATTGTTTCAACAAATATTTATGGTTTAATATTATAAAATATATTTCCAATTTAAAATAAGGCTTGGGTTTTAATCAGAAAGTATTTCCTTGTTTGTCTTAACTTTACCATTTCACTGTCTTTTAAAAAAAAACTAGAAATTCTGCTAAAATCACTAACAACTCTACAGATATGGTTTGTTAAATAGGAATGTTGTTACTTTAGAATAAAGAACTGCCTAGGAAGAAAGATAAGCAAGGTGCTTTCTTTTCCTTTAACATGTATCTCAGACTCATAAAAGGTAAATCTACCATAATAGGTTCTATTGCATTCTCTTCTATTAAATGCGAAGATACATTATCATCTAGAATAGTATAATATGTGTATGTATGATATTTTTATTGAATTGTGTACTGGTATAAAATAGGCTTGGAATAGTTCAAAGTAGTCATAAAGACAAAGTGTCATATAGAATATAGAACACTTCCACATAAGCTTTATGATATGATGTTCTGTGATTTTGTTTTCTTTCTCCCGTATGAATTGTGTTTAGTTTACTTTTTTTTGTTGGAACCAAGTAAAGTATATTTGACATTTCATAATTTCGCTGAATGAGTTTTATGTATGTACCATATTTTCTAATGTACTATTGGTTTTTATTGTTTGTTTGTTTGTTTAGGAATAGGCTTGGCAAAAACAGTTTTACATGGAAGATTTTTTTTAACAGTTAACATGTTTATTTGTGTCCCTTTTTTTTAGAGGGAAAAGAGTGAGTAAAAGTGAGGCAAAATAAATTGTTGATTGCTGGCCAAGTTGAATGTCATGTTGTGCAAATATTTATGGATTAATATTTTGATAGAATTAAAATATATTGTACAACGTGGGATTCAACTTGGCCAGCAATAAACAAATGATTTTGTTCACTCTGGAATTACCTCAGAGGCTCACAGATATTTTCTGATGCCATGGAGTGCAGCTTCCAAAGAAATATTCCAACTAACTACCCCTACCACCCAACAAAGGGTGCCTTCTTAACCTAAATCTTTAGGCATACAACTTTCATATTATAAAATGCACCCCTTTGAAAAGTACAATGCAGTGAACTCTACTGTATTTACAGTTACATAACCATCACCAAATCTAAGTTTAGAACATTGGAAGATCTTTTATTCCTTAAGAAAAAAAGGAGCAAATAAAATTAGTAGTTGGGCATCTGATGCCTCCCCAGAAAAGTGAGGAAGATCAAAAGTAAATTTTGCTGTAGATTCATATTGAATGATTCCATGTGGAACAGTATCTCAGCACAATGGTATGCCACACTGTCTTATAATTTCCTGATTTTGTTGAAATTGGAACGTACTGTAGAATTGCTTGACTATTGCTTTCCAAATTCCACGCTGATTTTGGTAACATTGCATAATTTTTTTTAAAAAACAATATTACTTTCTATCTCCACTCTGCAATATTGACTATAAGGGGTTTCCATGGTTCTTATACATTTGATTATTATTGTGGCTTTTTCTGAACATACCTAGCAAAAACATAAGTAGTAAGAAAGGATGGTAGATGTATCTCTGTTGGTCTATGATTAAAAATATGCTTAAGTTTGAGGGATAGTTGATATTAAATATCAAATTATATTGAACAATATACTGTAAAATATACCATTTTAACAGTCTATGTTTTACAGGATATCCTTCTATTTTTCCATATTCATAAAATGTTGACCATTTTTGTCAGGCTATGAGATTTAGATCTTTAACCTACAAGTTAGAGGAGCCTTTGACCACACCTGTCCCCAGAGTTACCTCATATTTGTGCCATGTGCCAGATATTAGCCAGTTCTTCCTATGAGACAAAACTGAGAGCATGAACTCTTTGCATATTTAACATTGGCCTATTTTACTTAATTGTTTATTTACATTTATTTTGAATCAGATGCCTGTCTTTGTTTACCTTTGTTATCACCTGTAATACCTCCTTGGGTTTCATTATCCTGTCTTGTTTCAGAACTTGAAACAATTTCTTGAAGTTACTGCCTTGAAAATCTCCAGCCAAGTTTCTCTTTTTCTTTTTTAATTATTTAGTTTGGAGTTCTGACATCATTTATATTCATCACTGGCATAAGAGCAAGCCCAGCTTAATGGACATTAGTGTAGTCTCTGGAGTTAGTCCAACATAATTTGAATCTTGACTTTATTGTTTATTAGCTGTGTGACCTTAGGGAAGTTATTTAACTTCTCTGTTTATCATTATTTTTCATCTATACAATTGGAGGCTAATAGTACTTAGGTGTGGGGAGTATTGTGAGGATTACATGAGATTTTTCTTGTGAGACGGTTGAAACACACAATATAAGTACATAGTAAGTGCTCAAAATGTAATCATTAGCAACAGTCATTTTAAAAGTATGACATTCCTTTTTGTTCTTGTTTACAATTAGTTATCTTTATTCAATTTATTATTAAGTACTCTGCTAAGAGTTTTATATTCTCTGATTCAATGCTTTCAGAAACTTTGAGAAAGGTATTATAACTGTCAACATTTTATAGATGATAAATGTGTAATATTGAGAGATTAATAAGTAATTTGACCAAGGTTCCTACACAGAAAGCAAGTGGCTGAAAGCAAATGGTAATAATTTGTTTGACAAATAAAGGTAGCAAATCAAAACAAAATACAAATGACAGAGAACAAAGATTATCATATAACTCTGAAATTTATACAATTAAAATTAAAATACTTCGGAAAAAAGTAAAGAATAATTATTAAAATAAGATAAAATTCTGAGAAACCCATAATCAATTTTGGTTTTTATTCCTTTCTCATAGTTTCATTAATATAATTTAGGATGTCATTTAGTGTCAACATGGTAGTAAATATTTGATTTGTGACCTATAGTTAACTGCTACCTTAGAATATATTATTTATATTATTATAACCTAATATTATTAAATATCAAATCTATTAGATTCTTAGTAAAGAGTGGCCATTTTTAAAATAATTCAACTTTTATTTTAGATTCAGGGGTAACATGGGCAGTTTTGTTACATGGGTATGTTGTGTGACACTGAAGTTTGGGCTACAAATGATCCCATCACTCAGGCAATGAGCATAGTAACAAATCGGTAGATTTCCAGGCGTTGGTTTCCTCTCTGTCTTCCCACTCTAGGAGTTCCTGGGGTCTATTGTTTCCATCTTCATGCCAATGCTTACCCAATGTTTAGCTACCACTCGTGAGAACATACGATATTTGTTTATCTGTTCCTGCATTAATTGGGTTAAGATAATGGCCTCCCTGTTGCTGGAAAGGACATGATTTCATATATTTTATGGCTCCATAGTATTCCATGGTGTATATATACAACATTTTCTTTATCTGATCCACTGTTGATAGGCACCTAGGTTGATTCCATGTCTTTGCTATTGTGACTAGTGCTGCAATGTACATGCAAGTGCATGTTTTTTTGGTAGAATGATATATTTTCCTTTGTTTATATACCCAATAATAGGATTGCTGTGTTGAATGGTAGTTCTGTTTTCAGTGCTTTGAGAAATCTCTGACATTTTGAATCACATGTTTTAATTTTCAGATATATGAGAACCTCCCCCACACAGTCTGTATTTTTGCTTCATTATTCCTATTTTTATTTATACATAAGTCACTTGCCTGCCCTCATCTACTGAAACTTCCAA